CTAAAACAGTATCCTTGGCTCCAGGAAGCTGTTGATCAGCCAGATATCTTGTGGGCCAAATTTCTGTTCTCTGGACTTGACTGACAGGGCTTTGAGCCCTTAGATGCAGGAAAGAGAACAGGCAGTTCAGATGAAAGCAGTAGTTGTAATAGGTACCACTGCTACAAGCCGAGCACTATGCTATTCTCCTCCTCTTTTGAGGTCCTACTAACAACCCTATGAGGTAGGAACTATTAGCTCTGTTTTATAGATGAGGAAACTGGGCTTTAGGGAGAGTCCATCCTCGTCAAAGATCCACCACTTAGGAGTAAGAGGTGGAATTCAGAGCTGAGTGACTCAAAACCTGTTCTCAACTCCTACGTAGTACTGCCTTCACTAAGCCTCACGGCTTTGTCTGTTGGAGTGCAGTGGTGATGGCTAAAAGCCTCATAAACAGTAGAGATTGGCCAGTCTCCTCTGTTCTTGTCACATCAGTGTCCTTGAGTGCGTGCTGGTCACTTTCATACCCTGGCTCCTCAGGTCTCCTACAGTAGTCTCAAGGACTGGTTATTCCCCCTAAAAGAGTACATTGTGCTGCTGGGTCAGGGTGGTGGACACTCTGGCCCTTCTGTCCTGGAGACCAAGTTGAGCAGTATCAATCCCTCTATGCCTTTCTGCCCCCCAGAGATGTTCTGTGCAACAAGCTGCGGATGGGCTTCCCGGCGACCACCTTCCAGGACATCCAGCGCGGGGTGACAAGTGCTGTGAACATCATGCACAGCAGCCTCCAGCAGGGCAAATTTGACACAAAAGGCATCGAGAGTACTGATGAAGCGAAGCTGTCCTTCCTGGTAGGTAGCCCACAGCTCACGAGCTGGGTTGGTCTATCTCGAGAGATTACATTATGACTGCTAAGCCACAGTATAATAGGCCTCTAGCTAGAGACTTTTCCTCCAGTGTCTATATAGAAGGAAAACTCCTCCTTTAAGGAAAGTTCCTCCTAGAAGGTTCTGAAACCATTTCTTACTCAGGGACATATTCTGAGCAGCCTGAGCTAGGATAGAGGCTGGGCTGCCCAGCTGTCACCTAGCATTCTTTCCCCAGAGCACTGCCCAGCTGCTCGGGAGCCTACTGAGTGTCAAGCTTGGCTTGCATCTGTCACAGAACCAACAGCACCATCTGTGCCGGGCACCAGACTGCTGCTCTGAGCCGAGGCCTGCAGCATGAGTGGGTGCCAGTCCTCCCGGCCTGCCAGCATTGCTCTACTAGCACATCTGAGGCTTTCAATTTCCTCTGGAGAGGAGGCCTTATTAAAGCCCTTTGCTACCCAGACTGACAGATGTGATAAAGCAGCAAGTCTTACTATTGTGTGACAGCTTGGAAAGGAGAAGCATGGAAGGATGAAAAGATTTGTATAAAGCAACAGCCAGTTTATGATGAGACAGAGAGAACATAAATGAGTCCTAAGCTCAAGATCAGCCCTCTCTGGCTCATGCTGTCTTAGCATGCACAGGAGTGGCACAGACCAAGGTCCATTCTGCTCCATCCCCCACATTAGCCACATTCTGAGTCTTTACTCTTGAGGCTCAGAGCCTGAAAGAAACATCTAGTAGCAGAGCTGTAAATCTGTAGTCCACAGGTGGGGTTGGATACAAAAATGTGCACATGCATTTTTCTGGACACAGGGTTCTTAGCTTTTATCAGATTTTTTTTTTTTTTTTTTTTTTTTTTTTTTTTTTTTTTTTGAGACGGAGTTTCGCTCTTGTTACCCAGGCTGGAGTGCAATGGCGCGATCTCGGCTCACCGCAACCTCCGCCTCCTGGGTTCAGGCAATTCTCCTGCCTCAGCCTCCTGAGCAGCTGGGATTACAGGCACACGCCACCATGCCCAGCTAATTTTTTTGCACCTTTAGTAGAGACGGGGTTTCACCATGTTGACCAGGATGGTCTCGATCTCTTGACCTCGTGATCCACCCGCCTCGGCCTCCCAAAGTGCTGGGATTACAGGCTTGAGCCACCGTGCCCGGCCCTTTTTTTTTTTTGAGATAGGGCCTCACTCTTGTTGCCCAAGCTGGAGTGCAGTGGTACAATCTTGGCTCACTGCAACCTCCACCTCCTGGGTTCAAGTGATTCTCTTGCTTGAGCCTCCTGAGTAAGTGGGATTACAGGCATGCACTGCCACACCCAGTTAATTTTTTTTTCTTTTTTGAGACGGAGTCCATTCTGTCACCCAAGCTGCAATGCAGTGGCATGATCTCGGCTCACTGAAACCTCTGCCTCCTGGGTTCAAGTGATTCTCCTGCTTCAGCCGCCCGAGTAGCTGGGACTACAGGCGCACGCCACCATACCCGACTAATTTTTTGTATTTTTAGTAGAGACAGGGTTTCACCATGCTAGCCAGGATGGTCTCGAACTTCTGAGCTCAGGCAATCCACCCACCTCAGCCTCCCAACGTGCTGGGATTACAGGCGTGAGCCACCGCGCCTGGCCTAATTTTTGTATTTTTAGCAGAGATGGGATTTTGTCATGTTGGCCAGGCTGGTCTCAAACTCCTGACCTCAATTGATCCACCTGCCTTAGTGCTGGGATTATAGGCGTGTGCCACTACACCCAGCTATCAGATTCTTAAAAGGGTCTGTGACCTCAAAAGAGTTCAAAGTTGTTACTTTCAGAGACAGAAGCCTAAACTTGCTAATACCTGCCAACCCCTGTGCAGAGGAACCCACAGTAACTGGTTATCAGACAGAGTCAATACAAAAGCTATTTAGGCAGCCCCACTCTCTTCCTGTCAGAGAAAATATTTGCCCTGGGCATGGTTTCTGTCAATCAAGGATATGGTTGCTACCAAAAATGGGTCAGCTCCAAAGAACTGTTGCCGTGAAATTTGTTACCTTTGGAGAACTTTTCCAAAATGCCTAGTAACCAGCATTACATGATCGTGAACTGACTTAAGTTTTTTATCTTGTTTGTATTCTTTCATTTTTTTACAGAACTTACTTTCATTTCTGTGCTCAAAAATAATCATTGGCTCCTTGTTGCCTGCCACGTCAAAGCTAGATGTCTTTGTTTAAGCCTCCTAAATCTAACCCATCCCACCTTTCCAGTTCTGTGTTCCACCGCTTGACTACACGTCTCCAAAACCGGCCAGTGCATGCTTGCTCTGTGAGGACCTCCCATTAACACAGTTTCATTGTTTGAGGCCCCAGAAGATAAGACCAAAAAGAAAGGCAATGCTAAATGCTTGGTGACAGTTTTCTGGTTTTCCTGATACCATGTATTTAAAATGTCATCACTCCCATTTCAGGGCCTACTTTTTTATGTCACCTTGTTTCATTTGGCTGTCAAGATGAATTCCCCAGGCATACTGACATCATGCACCGTGGGCAGGGAATAAGCCCAGTGAATCCATGCTTACTAGGGCTGTCAGTACAAGGGAAACTTTGAAATCAATACCATTTGGACTCAAATCTATAAGTCCATTATGACAATTATTCTTGGTGCTATTAAATGCCTTGGAAACACTTATGTTATGGCCTTCATCCTTCAGCTGTCATGACAGGAGTTATTTGGACACTTGTGACATGATCGGCCTTTTGTTGTGGTATATTAAAGAAAGACCTTTAGGCTTATCTGTCCACAATCAGAGTGGCCTGAACAGCACTGTCAGCATCATAACTTTCAGCATTGACTGCAGGACACTGACAAGGGAAACACTCTGGGGAAGATGAGAGGGACTTCCTAATCGCAGCCCCTGGGGTTCTGAGATCCTCCTTTTACCCTGAAATCCTGAAGCTCCTGACTCATGTCTCGAAGACTGGCTCCTCTTTACCTCAACCCTCCTTTGCTGATCATGCCACCAGCACACCAGTTCACAGGCAGTGGGATCCCCAGGCCCTCTAATTCCTCCCACACGTGGCCTCTAGATGAGTATTCCCAAATGACAGTTGTGCTCATGTGGCATTCACTGCTTTAAAAATCCTCAGTGCCAGCCCACTGTCCACAGGACACAGAGGCAACTCTGCAGCAAAGCACCCAAGTCCCCATCAGGGTCTGCCCTTCGCAGCTCTATGTCCTACCACTTCCCTGCACGTGTCTATGAACTGACTGTGCTATCTCCCAGATACCTTTTTGGGTTTTCTGCCATTCTGCAATTGCTTACATTATCCCCTTTCCAGAGTATGTTCATTCACTCTCTTCCTGATTCCACAAATATTTATTGAGAAACTTCTGTATATCAGACACTGTTCTGGGTTCTAGAGCTACAGGTGGCTATTGAAATTTACCTTTAAATTAAAAATCCACTTCCTGAGTTGCATTAGCTATGCTTCAGGTGCCCAGTAGCCACACATGTCTGTGGGCTACCATACCAGACAGTGCAGTTAGAATATTTCCATCATCATCAAAAAAAAAAAAGAAATAAAAAAGAAAAAAAAAAAAAAAAAAAGAGTATTTCCATCATCCAGAAACGTAGACAGCGCTATGTAGAGATGCAGTGATGAAGAAAACAGGCCAGATCTGTGCAGACAAGAAACAGATAAACCAGAGAATGTCAGGAAATCCTAAGGACTGTTAAGAAAATATCAAATAGGGCCAGGCGCAGTGGCATGTGCCTGTAGTCCCAGCTACTCGGGAGGCTGAGGCTGGAGGATCGCTTGAGTCCAGGAGTTCTGGGCTGTACTGCACTATGCCAATTGGGTGTCCACACTAAGTTTGGCATCAATAAGGTGACCTACCAGGAGCAGGGGACCACCAGGGTTGCCTAAGGAGGAGTGAACCCGCCCAGGTCAGAATCAGAACAGGTCAAACTCCCGTGCTGATTAGTAGTGGGATTGCACCTGTGAATAGCCACTGCACTCCAGCCTGGGCAACATAGCAAGACCTCATCTGTTTTTAAAAAAAAGAAAAGAAAAAATAAATAAATAAACAGTGAACAAGAAAGAGGCTGATGGGGTGGAGAAATGTTTTCACCTTCATCTCCTGTCAGAATTATGTTCCACTCTTTTTTTTTTTTCTTTTTTGTAGTCTCTGTAGAGACTGTCAGAAATTGCCAATGCCAACTATATTGTAAGTCAGCACGGCAGGATATTGGGAAAAGTTTTCAATTAGCAATAATCATGCCTCAGATAAACATTATTGGCTATAATACTGCCACTGTGCAAAGCTTATGTTCCACTCCTTTATGTTTATTCAGCTCAACTACCACCTCTACCATGGAACCTTCCTTAGATTCCTTACACCGAAACAGTTTGTTCTTTCCTCCGAATGGCCAGAGCAATTAGTGCCTTAATATTTTTGCCCCATGCTACTTTCTTTTTTACTGGAGACAGAGTTTCACTCATGTTGCCCTGGCTGGAATGCAGTGGTACAATCTCAGCTTATTGCAACCTCTGCCTCACAGGTTCAAGTGATTCTCCTGCCTCAGCCTCCCAAGTAGCTGGGATTACAGGTGCCTGCCACCATACCTGGCTGATTTTTGTATTTTTAGTAGAGATGGGGATTCACCATACTGGCCAGGCTGGTCTCGAACTCCTGATCTCAGGTGATCTGCCTGCCTTGACCTCCCAAAGTGCTGGGATTACAGGTGTGAGCCACCATGCCCATACTACTTTTATCATTGGTATTTCTGCACCTAGTCTATAAGGCAGTTGAGTTATTAAAGAAGTCGTCTTTGGACCAGAGTAGGGAGATCAGAATTCCTTTTTTTAGTTTATTGGTATATTATAAAGGAAGTTATCTGGGATACAGATGAAGAGATGAATAGGGCGAATTATGGGGAAAGGGGTGTGGAGCTTCAAGTGGCCACTATCCTGGAAGCTCAGAGATGTGAATTCTAAGCCTGGCTCCAGCTTTGTGCCCTTGTCACTCTGAGTGTCTGAGTGTCTGTCCCTTATCCTGCTTTATTATTCTTCCTGGCATTATATAATACATTTGTTTACTATCTGGCTTCCTTGCTGTAATGTTAGTCCTGTGAGGGCAGACCATGTCTGTTTTGTTAATTGCTTTCTCTTCAGTGCCTAGAACCATGCCTGGCACATCCAGGTGCGCAGTAAATATTTGCTGAATCAGTTGCTGTCTGACCTTGATGACTCATTTTACCTTCTTTTTTTTTTTTTTTTTTTTTTTTTTTTTTTTTTGAGAGAGTCTCACTCTGTCCCCCAGACTGGAGTCCTGTGGTGCAATCTTGGCTCACTGCAACCTCTGCTTCCTGGGTTCAAGCGATTCTCCTGCCTCAGCCTCCCGAGTAGCTGAGACTGCAGGTGTGCACCACCATGCCTGGCTGATTTTTTTGTATTTTTAGTAGAGACAGGGTTTCGCCACATTGGCCAGGCTGGTCTTGAACACCTGACCTCAGGTGATTCACCTGCCTCGGCCTCCCGAAGTGTTGGGGTTATAGGCATGAGCCACCACACCTGGCCAAATCATTTTGCCTTCTGAAGAAATGAGGAGTCTCATTTTCTTCCATGCACTGGGCTTGATAATGCTTATTCTGTGAGGGGTATTGGGCAGATTCCATGAGATAAAGAATGAGAAAATGCCTCATAGGTGGCAGGATCTCTGGAAGTTTTTCTTTAATGAATGTCAGGCTTTGTATCACTGATCTGGGGCTTGGCCATTTGGACCCTCAGAACTTATCCCAGACCTGTATGCCTGAGTCATTTCTGATCTGTAGGTAACAGTACAAAAAGACCTAAAGACCATAACTTTAGGCTCCCTGGCATTAGGCAACCAGAAAGGGCAAGCCTGGTTCCCCATTCTGCCTGATCCAAGATCTGAGTGTCCTGCCTGATGCAGAGGTGTGGCCTTTCATTAGCCGAAGTCTGAACTCCCACCAGTCCTTCTCTAATCCTCGTGGAGCGCAGCTGTCAGCCAGTCTGGCATTGGAGTGGGTAGCAGGCACAGTCAGCAGGAAGTCACATTCTTCCTTCCTCATCTCCCAGGTGACTCTGAACAATGTGGAAGTCTGCAGTGAAAACATCTCCACTCTGAAGAAGACACTAGAGGTACAAGGGAAATTGCCTATCAGCAGTCAGCAGCCACCTCTTCCCATGTTGAGAGACAGCCCTGTATATACATCCTGGTGAAGACACTCATCCTGGTGACATTGAGCCACACTTGAGGGGATTCCTTGGTCACTGACATGATAGCAAGGCATCCTTAGACCAGTGGGAAAAGCTTAGGAGTTGAAAGATCAGAATTCAGAGTAGATCTTCAAGGCTTGGCATGGTGGCTCACACTTGTAATCTCAGCACTTTGGGAAGCCAAGGCAAGCAGATTACCTGAGGTCAGAGTTCGAGACCAGCCTAGCTAACATGGTAAAACCCTATCTCTACTAAAAATATGAAAATTAGGTGGTGTGGTGGCAGTTGCCTATAACCCAGGAGGAACTGTTGAACCTGGGAGGTAGAGGTTGCAGTAAACCAATATCATGCCACTGCACTCCAGCCTGGGCAACAGAGCAAGACTCTGCCTCAAAAAAAAAAAAAAAAAAAAAAAAAAATTATTATCTTCTAGCACATAGTTGGCATGTCACCTTGGACAAGTCCCGTAACCCTCTGAGCCTTAGTTTTCTCATCTATGAAAGGAGATACATAGCTTCATCCTGCCCTAGTTTGGGTTTCTTGGATGGGCTAATGAAAACACAGGATTGAGGCCAAGTTGCATACACCTATAAGCTCAAAATTTTTGGGAGGCCAAGGCAGGAAGATCACTTGAGGCCAGGAGTTCAAGGCCAGCCTGGGCAACATAATGAGACCTTGTCATTTAAAAAGTAAAAATAATGGCCAGGCATGGTGGCTCCCACCTGTAATCCCAGCACTTTGGGAGGCCAAGGCAGGTGGATCACCTGAGGTCAGGAGTACAAACCAGCCTGGCAAACATGGTGAAACCCTATCTCTACTAAAAATAACAAAAAATTAGTTGAGTGTGGTAGCCGGTGCCTGTAATCCCAGCTGTTCGGGAGGCTGAGGCACAAGAATCACTTGAACCCAGGAGATTTAAGTTGCACTGAGCTGAGATCGTGCCACTGCACTTCAGCCTGAACAACAGAGTGAGACTCCATCTCAAAAAAATAAAAGAGAGCATAATGGCTCAGGCCTGTGGTCCCAGCACTTTGGGAGGCCGAGGTGGGTAGATCACCTGAGGTCAGGAGTTCAAGACCAGCCTGGCCAACATGGTGAAGCCGTCTCTACTAGGAATGCAGAGGTTGGCCGGGTGTGGTGGCACATGCCTGTGGTCTCGGCTGCTCAGGAGGCTGAGGTGGGAGAATTGCTTGGACCCTGGAGGCCGACATTGCAGTGAGCCGGGATCATGCCACTGCAATCCAGCCTGGGATCATGCCACTGCAATCCAGCCTCCAAAAAAAAAAAAAGAGAGAGAGGGTCTCGCTTTGTTGCCCAGGCTGGTCTTGAACTCCTGGGCTCCAGTGATACTCCTTCCTTGGCCTCACAAAGTTCTGGGATTACAATATTGAGCCACTATCCTCAGCTTTTCAAGACTTATTATCATGGCTTTGAATACTTTTTTTTTTCTAGACAGAGTCTCACTGTCACGAGGCTGGAGTACAGTAGCACAATCTCAGCTTACTGTAACCTCTGCCTCCTGGGTTCAAGCGATTCTCCTGCCTCAGCCTCCCGAGTAGCTGGGATTACAGGCACACACCACCACATCCAGGGAATTTTTGTATTTTTAGTAGAGACAGGATTTCACCGTGTGGGCCAGGATGGTCTCAATCTCTTGACCTTGTGATCCGCCTGCATCACCCTCCAAAGTGCTCGGACTACAGGCGTGAGCCACTATGTCTGGTGGCTTTGGATAAATTATTAACTTCTGTGCCTCAGTTTCCTCATCTGTACATTGGGGATAATAATTTTATCTACTTAATAAAGGAGATACTTTTTTATGGAGGTCAAAGTAACTTACAATAGTTGTGGAGGTTTTGGGTTTTCATTTGGTTTTGTTTTTAGGGAGAATAGATACTTTGGTCTCACTCTGTTGTCCAGGCTGGAGTGCAGTAGCACAGTCATAGCTCACTGCAACCTTGAACCTTTGGGCTGCGGGGATTCTCTCACCTCAGCCTCCCGAGTAGCTGGGGATGCAGGGGCACACCACCACATCCAACTAATTCTTTAATTTTCTATAGAGACCGCTTCTCACTATGTTTCACTGCTGTTCTTAAACTCTGGCCTCAAGTGGTCCTCACACCTTGGTCTCCCAAAGCGCTAGAATTACAGACATGAGCCACCTCACCCAGCCTGGTACTTTAATAAAAGTAAAATGCTTAGATCAAAGCCAGGTATACAGTAAGCCTTTAAACCTTAATTATGATCTTGGCCATCTTTCTTTGGCAGCCAGACCAAAATATTTAAGAAGAGAAACTGGCTTCTGTGGTTTTTTGTACATGTAAATAAAATTTTAAAAGGAGAAGTAAATAAATAGAAAAGTGGGGGAAAAGGAGAAACTCTAGCAATAATAGCTAGTGTCTCCTGTGCCAGGCATCGAGCTAGGCATCTTGTGCTTCATCTCATACATGAGGAGGAGAAATTTATGTTCCCATTTTATAGACAGGAAAATTGAAGCTCAGAAACTTTAAATCATTTGCCCAAGGTCACTCAGCTAAGTCCTGAGCCAGGACTTGAACCTCAGAATGTGTGACTCTAAAGATACAAAAAACTTTCTGGTATTTCGGTTCTTGTTCACTTCCCCTGACACTGGTACCCCCATATTACAGAGGGAGAAGTGGGAGCCGAATGGATAACCACCAGGATAGAATTCAGGTTTTCCGAAACCCATCCAGGGCTCTCAACAGTAGAACTGGCTGGTGGCATATTGACCTCCTCTCTGCCTCTCCTTACACTCCCATGGCCCACGTGTGCTCAGTGGTCTTACAGCAGTGTTATCCCCTAGAGTGACTGCACCAAGCTCTTCAGCCAGGGCATTGGAGGGGAGCAGGCCAAGGCCAAGTTTGACAGCTGCCTGTCTGACTTGGCTGCCGTGTCCAGCAAATTCCGAGACCTCTTGCAGGTAAGACCCAGGTTCAACTGCTAACTGAATCCTGTGCCTGTGCATTGCTCTAAGAAGAGTGTTACTGGCTCATCGTGTGCAAAGAAGCCAGGAGGACGGGTGAGGGAGGGGGCAGCCAGCAAGCCCTGGAGTTTGGAGTTGTA